CCTACGCGGACAACCAGCCGGGTGTGTTGATCCAAGTTTTCGAGGGTGAGCGCGCCATGACCAAGGACAACAATTTGCTGGGCAAGTTCCACCTGGATGGCATTCCTCCGGCTCCCAGGGGTGTGCCGCAGATTGAGGTGACCTATGACATCGATGCCAACGGAATCTTGAACGTGAGCGCCTCCGACAAGTCCACTGGAAAGTCCAACCAGATCACCATCACCAATGAGAAGGGCCGGCTGTCGCAGTCGGAGATCGATCGCATGGTGCAAGAGGCAGAGAAGTTCCGTGCCGAGGATGAGGCCATTTTTTGGGCTACAGACCAAGCTATTTGGGCTTGTGTTGCCAGCAAGCTTACCCATGTCTGTCATGGTTGTGCGCATGTGTGGTTGTGTGTTCGTGTGTTTGTGTGTTTGCTTGTGTGTGTGTGTGTGTGTGTGGTGTGTGTGTGTGTGAGTGTGGGTTTGCGTGTTTGTGTGTTTGTGTGTTTGTGTGTTTGTGTGTTTGCGTGTTTGCGCGTTTGCGTGTTTGTGTGTTTGCGTGTTTGTGTGTTTGCGTGTTTGCGTGTTTGTGTGTGTGTGTGTGTGGTGTGTGAGTGTGGGTTTGCGTGTTTGCGTGTTTGCGTGTTTGTGTGTTTGTGTTTGTTTGTTTGCTTGCTTGCTTGCTTGTTTGCTTGTTTGTTTGTTTGTTTGTTTGTTTTGTTTGTTTGTTTGTTTGTTTGTTTGTTTGTTTGTTTGTGTGTGTGTGTGTGTGTTTCTGTGTCTCTGCGTTTGTGTGCGCGCTTAATCCACCATGCTCTGCAGATCTTGCATGTTCAATCCTTGATGCATCAGACAAGCAGGTTGCCAAATGACTATGTGTTTGTTACTTAAAGATACTTACAGTGTTTTGATGAGTTGACTTCTCAATGTTACAGTAATGTGATGCGCACTGGATTGCCCGCAGGCCAACAAGCAGAAGATCGAGGCCAAGAACGGCTTGGAGAATTACTGCTTCACCATGCGCAACACCTTGAACGAGGAGAAGCTGAAGGACAAGTTCGAGGGCGGTGATAAGGAGAAGATCGAGTCTGCGGTGCAAGAAACCCTGGACTGGCTGGACAAGAATCAGTTGGCTGAGAAGGACGAGTTTGAGGCCAAGCAGAAGGAGCTGGAGGGCGTTGTAAACCCCATCATGATGAAGGTGTACCAGGCTGCCGGCGGCGGTGGCATGCCAGAAGGTGGCATGCCAGGCGGTGGCATGGGTGGCGCCCCTGGCGGCAACAGCGGCCCGACTGTCGAGGAGGTGGACTAATTCGACTTAGGCATCAAGCACAACATGCTGAAGTAGGTGTGGGAACCAAGCCCACAACCAAAGTTTCTTTTTGGGCAATTGGCAATTGTGCCAACGCCCAGCAAAAACCTGTGCATGGAACAGAATGATCGGAAGCTGCATGAAAGCTATTGCCTGATGAACCACTGGCATATCATCTCATAGCATTGGCGTAGCATTGGCATAGCATGCGATGTTGAAGGTTTTTGCCCGGTTTCGTGAGCAGACATGGGCGCCAACAGAAGGAATCAGAGGGTCAAATTTGTGTTGAGGTGTTTTATTTGTTCAGCTGTTTCACGGTCTTCGCAATCTAGGGCTCTCCAAAGTCATTGATCGTACTTCGAGCGGCCCTGCATGTCTGCCAGCACGACGTTGTTTGATTGGATTCTTGGCACAAACTACAATCATCACACCACTACATTGATATATGATATGTGGCTCAGGCAAATCCATCGTTGCCATTAGTGCTTGCCCATTTAGCCTTTGGAGATTTAGCAATTCATCATGGCCAAGAAGACCGCCATTGGGATTGACCTCGGCACAACATATTCTTGCGTGGGTGTTTGGAAGAACGACGGAGTGGAGATCATTGCCAACGACCAGGGCAACCGAACCACTCCATCCTATGTGGCCTTCACCGATACCGAGCGACTGATCGGGGACGCAGCGAAGAATCAGGTGGCCCGAAATCCTGAGAACACGGTCTTTGATGCCAAAAGATTGATTGGCCGCAAGTTTGCCGACCCCATCGTGCAGGCAGACATCAAGTTGTGGCCATTCAAATGCATTGCAGGTCAGGGTGACAAGCCAATCATTGTGGTGAAGGTGGAAGGCGAGGAGAAGAAGTTCCCTGACATGAGCAAGAATAGATATGTTGTCGTTTAGGACCTTAGGAACTTGCATTATTGGGTTTGTTCATTGATGGCTGGCACGCATATATTGTTTTGGTTGAAGCCCAGGCTGTGGATTGAAGTCGACTCAGGTATCATCCGGAGGAAATCTCCTCCATGATTCTGCTGAAGATGAAGGAGACAGCCGAGGCCTACTTGGGCACCAAGGTGAATGATGCAGTCGTCACGGTGCCGGCCTACTTCAACGATTCTCAGCGCCAAGCCACCAAAGATGCCGGAACGATTTCCGGCATGAATGTGCTGCGCATCATCAACGAGCCAACTGCCGCGGCCATTGCATATGGCCTGGACAAGAAGGGCAGCGGTGAGAGGAACGTGCTCATCTACGACATGGGTGGCGGCACCTTCGATGTGTCGCTGCTGACCATTGAGGATGGCATCTTTGAGGTCAAGGCCACTGCAGGAGACACTCACTTGGGAGGTGAGGATTTTGACAATCGAGTGGTGGACTTCTGCATGCAGGACTTCAAGCGCAAGAACCGTGGAAAGGACTTGGCGGGCAACCAGCGAGCCATCCGCCGACTGCGCACGCAGTGCGAGCGTGCCAAGAGGACCCTGTCCTCATCCACGCAGGCCACCATTGAGATTGACTCCCTCTTTGAGGGCATTGACTACAGCTGCTCCTTGTCTCGTGCACGCTTTGAGGAGCTGTGCATGGACTACTTCCGCAACTCCATGGGCCCTGTGGAGAAGTGCCTCAAGGACTCGGGCATCGACAAGAAGAGCGTGCACGACGTGGTGCTGGTGGGTGGCTCCACGCGCATCCCCAAGGTGCAGTCCATGATCCAGGAGTTCTTCAACGGCAAGGAGCCGAACAGGTCCATCAACCCAGATGAGGCTGTGGCATATGGTGCGGCGGTGCAGGCTGCTATCCTGACTGGCGAGGGCTCATCCCAGGTGCAGGATCTCCTGCTTTTGGATGTGACGCCGCTATCCATGGGCTTGGAGACCGCAGGTGGTGTGATGACCAAGTTGATTGAGCGCAACACAACCATCCCGACCAAGAAAGCGCAGACCTTCACGACCTACGCGGACAACCAGCCGGGTGTGTTGATCCAAGTTTTCGAGGGTGAGCGCGCCATGACCAAGGACAACAATTTGCTGGGCAAGTTCCACCTGGATGGCATTCCTCCGGCTCCCAGGGGTGTGCCGCAGATTGAGGTGACCTATGACATCGATGCCAACGGAATCTTGAACGTGAGCGCCTCCGACAAGTCCACTGGAAAGTCCAACCAGATCACCATCACCAATGAGAAGGGCCGGCTGTCGCAGTCGGAGATCGATCGCATGGTGCAAGAGGCAGAGAAGTTCCGTGCCGAGGATGAGGCCATTTTTTGGGCTAGAGACCAAGCTATTTGGGCTTGTGTTGCCAGCAAGCTTACCCATGTCTGTCATGGTTGTGCGCATGTGTGGTTGTGTGTCTGTGTGTTTGTGTGTTTGTGTGTTTGTGTGTTTGTGTGTTTGCGTGTTTGTGTGTTTGTGTGTTTGTGTGTGTGTGTGGTGTGTGTGAGTGTGGGTTTGCGTGTTTGCGTGTTTGTGTGTTTGTGTTTGTTTGTTTGTTTGCTTGCTTGTTTGCTTGTTTGCTGGTTTGTTTGTTTGTTTGTGTGTGTGTGTTGGTGTGTGTGTTTCTGTGTTTCTATGTTTGTGCGCGCGCTTAATCCACCATGCTCTGCAGATCTTGTTTGCATGTTCAATCCTTGATGCATCAGACAAGCAGGTTGCCAATGACTATGTGTTTGTTACTTAAAGATACTTACAGTGTTTTGATGAGTTGACTTCTCAATGTTACAGTAATATGATGCGCACTGGATTGCCCGCAGGCCAACAAGCAGAAGATCGAGGCCAAGAACGGCTTGGAGAATTACTGCTTCACCATGCGCAACACCTTGAACGAGGAGAAGCTGAAGGACAAGTTCGAGGGCGGTGATAAGGAGAAGATCGAGTCTGCCGTGCAAGAAACCCTGGACTGGCTGGACAAGAATCAGTTGGCTGAGAAGGACGAGTTTGAGGCCAAGCAGAAGGAGCTGGAGGGCGTTGTGAACCCCATCATGATGAAGGTGTACCAGGCTGCCGGCGGCGGTGGCATGCCAGAAGGTGGCATGCCAGGTGGTGGCATGGGTGGCGCCCCTGGCGGCAACAGCGGCCCGACCGTCGAGGAGGTGGACTAATTCAGAGATTTAGAGTAGAGCTCGTGCAGGCAATACAACTTTGATTCGGGCATTTTGTATTACAGATTTATCTATGCCCGCCAGAAACCAGTGTATGACATCGAATGACTGTATAGGACAAAAGGAGCGTTGCATTTGACTGGGTGAATCAGCCCGCGCAATGTCCGGCCAGAGGCAATGTTGCTGCTGTTGTTGAGCCACTGCGACAGCCGATACTTGATGTTGAGAATCTACTGTTAAGTGTGTTTGCACAATTCGTTGTACGCATGTGTGGGAGTCGCCCAGCCTTTTAGATCATGTCAAGCAATCCTCAGATCTATTTACTATCCACGATCAACTGTAGCAAAGCCTCAGGTATGATCCAGCATTGTCATCATTGAACATGCGTTGGTTAGTCAACGGCAGGCCTTACTCTATATTGACGTCTGCAAGAGAAGCAAGCCCGGTGTCCGGATGGACAAGTTGCTCCACTCGACCCTACTCCACGCACTCGTTTCCTTTCTTTCTGCCATTAGAACAATCTTGGTGCTAAGCTCAACACAGCACAAAGATTTCGGGCTTGCGCCAAAGCAGCGCCAAGCCTGGGCTTTGCGCGGCGTGTACGATACCCATGGCTGGCTACCCGGAGGCCGGAGATCTGAGAGAAGGGTTGGGCACTGCTTTTTGGCAATGGTCCAAATCGGTATTTACGTTGGGGAAAACCAGGGTTTCAGAAAGGTGGTGCGCAATGCTAGCATTTGTATTGCACAGCATTCAGAGGGCTGGACCAGCATAGTTGGGGGACCCTGCTTTTACCCCAAACCTCCATTTGACCATTTGGTTCATCCGCCAAAAGAGGGGGTGGTGGTGGTGGTGGTGGTGGTGGCGGTGGCGGTGGCGGTGGCGGTGGCGGCGGCGGCGGCGGCGGCGGTGGTGGTGGTGGTGGGAAAGGTGGTGGTGGGAACAAAAAAACACATACCGTCCCCAAAATCACCATGTTGACCCCTTGTACCAAAGTCTTCCAATTCTTTGGAGGGAGAACCCCCCCAAGCAACCCCCCAGCCCTCGGGCACTTGCTGGCCGCTGCGTGACACATGGACTTAGGAAAGACATGTTCTCCCATGACACCTGAGGGGTTTACTTCTTTTTCGAGTTTGCCACACCTTGAAGCTTTTAGACAGGCGGCTCTGCAAGGCTCAAGACACTTGCAGTTCTGGGCTGTGTGCTCGTTGACAAATTTGGAAGGGGCTGGCGGAGGCGACACCTGGGACTTTCAAAAAGCAGCAGCATTGGCAGTTTTGGCAATTCACATTTGATGTTTCTTTGTCGTTTTTGCAGGGTGGAGAGGTGGAGGTCTTGTATCGGGGGGTTTGGTGGCGAAAAGGGTTGCTTGGGAATGCTGGCCAAAGCCTGCGAGGCCCCGTTTCAAGTAGTAGCTGCCTCTGTGATCGAGCGAAAAATGGGTGACCAGCGATTTGGTTGCTTGTCGACATGAAGCGGTTTGGTTGCCTGGCTTGCCACGGTGAATGAAATGAATGGGCCCTTTTTCCCCCCCCCCCCCATGAGGGTTCCTGAGAAAGTTGCAGAGGACACTTCTGAAAAAGGTGGCCTCAAGGGCTCATCTGACAGCAGGAAGCGCCCAAAGTCGGGCAGGCGCAGGACATGACTTGCACGCCGAGTGTGGGGTCAATTGACGAATCATGGTGGACTTAGATTCTTGCAGCAGATCCGCGCGTTGGGCACTGAGGCAGCATAATACCTGTAAGCACCAAGACCCTAAACCAATTTGATCACCATCCGACCTTGAACAAGCAAGACTGGACTCTACACTGTGATGTGACACAATGCTGGCCTGCTCAGCTGCGAACCACATGGAGTAGCTGCTAAATGGGGCGCATGGCCGAAATATTAAAACCGCTCAGGAAACAGCGGCGAATGGGAAAAGCTTTGCCATGAACATGTTTTTCCCAAATCGTTTCCTCTCAAGAGGTGAAACCGGTCGGGCAAGCTCTATTCCAGGGTTGCTCACCCCAAAGTTGTCAACCACAAAGTCCTCATGAGGGAGAAAGACCAAACCAACTCACGATTTGATGGCATTTCTTCCTAGCAAACCACTCTTCGGGTGAGCAACTCTGTACTCTGCAGGAGCTGTGCTGGGAGAAGCACGACCATTACCTGCGCCTTGGTTCGCAGCGGAAGCCACGCTCGTGGAGTCGGCGCTCTCGATTGAACCCCCGGCAAACGCTTGGCACTTGCAACCAGGTGGGCAAGCAATCAAGTGCGAGGGACCGTTGATTGGTTGGTTCATCAAGGACGATGACAACACGCATGCCTTGTACCTCTTAAGTAGCAGGTGTGACAGAGGACCCCTTCGAGCATCACCTGTGAGGATCTCCCTGCCACTCGAGTTGTGTCTCAAACTACGCGACCTCCCTTAGAACCTCTTAAATACCCTCAAAGATATGTGAATCCATACGGAAGTATGCCACATGGAAGGGGTGCAAGATCCGCCTCCAAGTCAGCAATTCCTAAACTTGCCTTTCTTCTTGCCTCACTCATGCAGAACTATGCCCTTTTGCGTGGTTGTTTGACTGGGGCGTTTTCAATTTTTTGCAGTTGATCCATGCCAGACACAAGTGAATGAAACACCGAATGGCGCAGTTTGTGTTTTGTGGATCCGCCCTCCCTTCTGAACTGGGTGTTGCCAAGGCGACACCTGGACGACGACAAGGCAGGTGTTTGTTTGTGTATGTGTGTGCGGGCAGAGGGACGTGGCTGTAGCTAGACCAAAGTTGGGGACACTTGGTAGCTCCTTGGGCTCGTGAGGGGAGCATTGCTTCGTTTGCGGTCTCCACTGCTGCGCCAGTTGTCGCAAGTTGTCTTTCGTGCTGTTGCCGTGAACTCAGGGATTTCGAGCCTCAACAATGTGAGCAAACCACACCTGTCGAAGGTCCAGCTGACCAAAAGCCAAGGGTCTAAACCTAAGAGGCCCACGGAAGCTGGTTTGGTCCTCATGTGGGTGTGGCTCAAAATTAACCAGGAGGGGTTACGCAGGTTTTGGTCCATGTTTCCACTTACCAGGGCAACCCATTTTGGAATTCCGGTTTTTTACGCCACAGCCATTGGTTTCTTCCTCTTTGTTTCCCCCAGGATTTGCCATGGATTCTGAGCCTGAAAATTCCTTGCCGGAGGAGTCCCTGGAGTACATGATGCCGGGAGCCCTGGAGGGGAGCCAGGCAGCAAGACGCCTGGGTGTCCGTTTTAGGTTAGTTTGCATAGAAATAGATTGCGCTGGTTTAGGTTGGTTTCCTTCCATTTACCAGGGCCATCTATTTTTCCAAAAGGCCACCTATGGCCAGGCGGGTCTGTGTCGAAATAGGGATTTGGACCTCAGCCCCAGGATACCGTACCGAGCCTCAAAAGCACACGCCGAGGGGGAAAGCTGGGGGGGGGGGGGGGCGCGCTGGAAAACAGGAGAAGCCGGCTTGCGCCGAAGGGACGGGCCTTTTTTTCTTTGGTTCGAAGTTGGTCAATTGTCCAGAGTGATCGCCCACTTGAGCAGAGATTCAACAGACAGCAAGGTTGTGATTTTGGGGCCCATCATGTGGCAGAACGAGATTGGGTGTGGGGGGGGAGGGTGGTGGAGGGTCTTCAACGTGTTGACAACGTTTAAGGGAAGCAATTGCTCACCTTGCCACGACTGAATCATGACGCAAAAGCTTCTCGGCAGTCGGGTTGTGATTTTGGGGCCCATCATGTGGCAGAACGAGATTGGGTGTGGGGGGGGTGGTGGGGGGTCTTCAACGTGTTGACAACGTTTAAGGGAAGCAATTGCTCACCTTGCCACGACTGAATCATGACGCAAAAGCTTCTCGGCAGTCGGGTTGTGATTTTGGGGCCCATCATGTGGAAGAACGAGATTGGGTGTGGGGGAGGGGGAGGGTGGTGGGGGGTCTTCAACGTGTTGACAACGTTTAAGGGAAGCGCCACGTCTGAATCATGCCGCAACAGCTTCTCGGCAGTCGGGTTGTGATTTTGGGGCCCATCATGTGGCAGAACGAGATTGGGTGTGGGGGAGGGTGAGGGTGGTGGGGGGTCTTCAACGTGTTGACAACGTTTAAGGGAAGCAATTGCTCGCCTTGCCACGACTGAATCATGACGCAAAAGCTTCTCGTCCATCAAAATGCGTCTGGGTTGAGGCAGATTGCAGCAAGCTTGCGTTTTCGGGTCCGCCTTCATGTATGATACAGGTAAATGCAGGCCGCTCGCAAGAGCGTGCAAACTGTGAATGTGAAGGACACACGTCACATGGCAGGGACAACTATGCGAAGATCTGGAGCCTTTTCAAAAAGGATGGCAGTCTTTTGTCGACTTGGGCAGTAGCCATGCCTTCCCTGTTCTCGGCATTTTTTTCCAGCTCTTGGCTTTTTTGGCTCTCTGGATTGTGTTTTTTGGGCTGCGCTCATTCAAGCGGAGTCTCGCTTGCCTGGAACTCGGAGGACGGAGCACCTGCGCATGGGCGGGGTCTACTGGGGCGTCAGCGCAGGGGGCCTCAGGAGCTTGGAGCGAGGCGAGCGTTTGGTGGAATTTGACCTAAGGGAGTTGGTTCTGTTGTGGAGTTATTACACTCATAAAGTTACTCGCCACTTTTCCGATTGGGCCAACCATCTCTGGATGGGTTGGATTTGCTTTCTTTGTTCACATCACGTCGCTGAGCATTGCTGTGCCCATGAGGGTTTCTTGCGCGCTTCTGGTGATTTAGATACTTGGATGATACCATCCAATGGATTCTGCTTAAAGTTGAATGAATGTTTAGGACAGATGGTCTCAGCTTTCTCTGGGGCCTTCCAATCATGAGATACACAGGGAGACCAGTTCTGAGGTTTCCATCGAGGCTCAGACAGCCTCATATGCAGGCACGAGTTTGGCAGCTTGTCGAGTTTGCCTCACGGTTTGAGCTGTCAAATCCAAGCGGAAGACGACCACACCCATCCACATAACATATGCACACAAAATAGATTGTTTTTGAAAAACTGCCTTAGCCTTTGCCAAACTCACTTGTTCATAGTTTCTGTTCCCTTGAAAGCCAACAAAAAGGGGGTTCCCAAAAACGCTACACACACATTTCCGTGTTTGGTTTGGTTTCAACAAGAAGGCAAACGGAAAGGGTCTCGAGACACGCTGAACCAACTTTCAGCCCATTTGGATTGTAGATTATTCTTTGAACCATGGCTTTAGGTTACCACTTTCCATAGTGGCAAACAACTTTTTTCGAGTGACATTCCATAGACAAATGAGAATCCCACGTTGGTGTCACAACGGTTGTCTCCAAGACCATTTTCCTCAAAGGCCCTCTTGGTTTCATGTCTGTTGGGAGGCTTCCTCAAATTCACATTGGGAGCCCTTTACCGATTTCCATTTAGCCCACTAGCCGTTAGTCACTTTGAGCAGTGGATCCGAAAACGGACAGGCCATCAACTTCATGGGTTTTGGGGGTTGCTGAGGCTATGGCGCTGCTGCGGCGCTTGGACGACCAGAGGACGAACGTTTTTTCTTCTTCTTCTTTTTCTCCACCCAGGTGGGTGCAGGTTTTGGCTTTGGTCAGGGGGGACGTGCTTTTCTTCTTTTTTTGACCACCTTGCCCCAGCCTCTCTTTTGTTGACCCAAACGTGGAGAGGTAAGTTTGGGAAGAAGCAGGTTGAGTAACAGGTTGAGTGGCTTTGAAAAGGACGGCACGGCCCAAAGGCACAACGCGCATAGCGCTCTGCAGCTTGCCTTCGCGTGGCGTAAAAAACACATAGAAGTTTCAACGAGGGAAAGTTGATGAACCCCTGCCCTTTCGAGAGGGTCCGTGCTACGAGACCTGGCTTTTGAGGGCTGTTCTACTATGAAAAACACCGATTTGCACCAAAGAAGGCACATGAAAGCTCCAAAGTCCCAGTGGCCCCCACACAAAAGACAGTTTGAACGTTGCAAACTCAAACTCTTTTCTTGTGGGGCCAATGTTGTTGTTTGCAGGCAATTTCACGGCTCGAAGAAGTGCTTTTGGTAAGCCTTTCAAACCGTCCAGCACCACCAGCACAATTAATACTGCCACACCGCCAGCACCACCAGCATCATCAGCATCACCAGCACCGCCAGCACCACCAGCATCATCAGCACCACCAGCACCACCAGCACCACCAGCAGCACCAGCACCACCAGCACCACAGCACCAACATCCAAACACAGCAGGTGTCTAAACCCTCCATTAAGGCACATGGGCCCCCCGCCTGTTGTCAGGAGCACACACATCCTCACTTAAACCCATCGGGAGCGCGTCTAGTTACCAGCAGCCAGACATTGGACATGCTGAAAGCAGCAGGCTGGGCGTGGAACAGTCGGCTGTCGGTTCGGAGCTTGTCCTTTGCCCTCAGCTCCGTAAGGAGAACCGACCTCATCGAGTGGATCCTCAGGCGAACTTGCCCTAACAGCTAGTGCAGTCTGCGTGAAGTTTGCAGCCCTGCTGACATGCCATCTGGAAGGAAAAGTGCCAGCTTCGCTGGGGAGATGTGCAGTTTCCCATCCTTAAAGTTTCCAGGAGCAAAGGCAATCGTGATCTTGCAACGAGCTAAAGTTGATTTCAGTCCTTGGCAGTTCAAGGTTGGTAGGACTGTGGGGATTTGGGTTGGGGGCGAGACCGTTGGTTTAGAAAAGGTGTGGGATTGTAGTCTAGTAGATCAATGTTTGCTTTCTATCCCTTGATTGTCTTGAGTGCCCGTGCAGAGTTGTCGCAGCGTTGTCGCAGGTTTTGAATATTGTTGTACATGAGATGTTACGGGTGATGGTCAGAAAGTGCAATGCTTCATGTTATGAGGGAAACCGCACTTGTGCCGATTCTGCCCAGCAGCTTGCGGCCCAAGTTTTCAAGCTTTGAGTTACTCCCTTGCTCGAGAAGTCAGGAAGCTGGGGGAACGGGGGCTGGGCCTGAGTCATTTGGACCTTGACTCAGGGCGCTTGTACGTATGGCAAAGGCAGAGATGGTTCCGGAAAAAAAGGGTTACGCGGTGTGCAGTGTTGCTTAAGCTGCTTGCAGGTCCTTCTCAAGCTGCTTTTTCATTTTGTTGTTTGTTGTCTTGATAAGTACATTTATCGGAAGGAGTTGGGGTATGAGAGAATGTTTGGGAAAGAGACTTGCATGGCAGGAAGGCTACGCATTGGCAAAGTAGTTCGCTGACTCGCGGCTGACTCGTTGGCTATATCGCTCGTAGGAGATGGAGATGGCCGCTGCTGGGCTGATCGCCCCGACCGCCGTATTCACACGCCCATTGTGCGCTCGGTCGCTCAGCGCTGACGATTGGGCCGCCCTGCGAGCCAGATGCTCGACAGGAGAAGGCAGCAATAAGATGAGCGACCCCAGTAAACTTTGTAATCTCAAGGTGACAGATGCTCATGCGGGCCAGTTTGGTTTAGACAGATCTTGCAGTTCCTTTCAAATTCAGTTGGCGAACTCATGAAGATGAAGAATTGAGATCCTCTCAGGACACCTGCAAAATTTGCAAGTGATTGCGGCGGAGAGGGCGCACATGAAGCACTTGGAAGAGCGGCTTGCACAGGAGAAAGGGCGAAGGCGCGCGGTGGGCAAACCTGTTCATTGACCAGGGAGATGTTGCGTTGTTTGTTTGCTTGGCTTTCTGCACAGCAGTTTGCTGGTGTTGCTCGATGTTTTTTGCCACCGCTGGCATGCGTCATGCCAACGGTTCCCGCCTTTTCTCCAAAGATGCCACTTGTTGCTTTGTTGCATGTTGCAACATCTCTTGTCACAGATGTCCTCCAGCCCCTATTGCGCAAGCTGGTTTTGGTGGTTTGCCCAGGGAGACCGCCGAGCAGAATCACCTAGACCTTTTGTGGGCGGTGGCACCCATCCTGGAAAGGGAGGCTGACAGGAGCCGTGGCAGCAAGCATATTGATCCGTGTCGGAATACGCAAGGCAACTGTGTCTGATGTCATTGCATGTTTAGCTGGCCAGATGCAATGTGGCAATGCGCAAGGACAGGGGCACCCCAAATTTGGACATTCAACAAAACGGATGACAGCCGAGTGGAGAGCGGCAGGTGGTTACATGACCGGAACTTGTCAATCACGCTAAGGGCCAACCTTGAAGTGGAAATCGGCAAGCTGGAGAAGGACAAGCGCAGCTTGGAGCAGGAGGGAGTGGCTGCAATTGAAATGATGCCCCCAATGTTCGGTCAATTGTGCAGATCGCTCGAGCAAAACGTATAACGGCTTTGTTTCTCAGATGAATCCTTGCAAGTCCTTTCACCACGAATGGCAGGAGCGCGATGCTCTCAAGGACGAGCTGGAGGCCCATACCGTATTGATTCTTTTTTTCTTATTCGCCATGTTCCGATATCCATCGGTCAGGATCATTCAGGATCGGTACTGATTTGGGGCCAGAGCAGAAGCAATAGCAACTAAACGGTGACTGGGGAGTGACTGCAATGCACCCACAAACTTCAAGAGGCGCTCAAGTCCCAAAGCCAACTCTTCAGGATCGGTCGGCAAACACTTCACTGCGTGAACAATGATTGGCCTGTTTGATCGTCACAATGTACTGATTGGTGAATAAATCATATGTCGTTGATCATTGAGAGAAGATTGTTGTGCAGCTGGCGCGCAGGGCATCCGCCTGCGCCGGCTTCGGCGGAAGCAGGCGAAGGCCAAGATGGCTCCGGAGAGCTCAGATGAGGCGCGAAGTGAGACATTTCCTTCAGAATTTGGCGCCTGAGACAAAACGGGTTTTGCGCATACACAGACAAGCAGAGTTTGTGGGCAATCCCAAATCCTTCACAGACGCTGAAGAAGAACATGCCGGGCTCAACATGTTTTGCGTCTATGTCGCAAGATTTGAACAAGTCAATTGCTGGAGCTCTTGTGGTCCCAAGTGCTCTTGTGCCGCGCGCAGTGGCCATGTCGAATCATGTTAAACCGACAGGAGACTCTGGATCTCGACCTGAGCTTTCAAGATGTGCCAAAGGGCACTGGCATCTGCAAGGACTGCGCGGGTGGCAAACCGGGTGCCATTCTGTTGGCCTTGCCAACCAGCAAAGATCTGGATAGAAGTTGATTGCCTGGGAAAGCCCAGCTCAAGAATTTGTTAGACGTTACGGGCTACAGTTTCTGCAAAGATCACCGCAAGAGTTGGCTAGGGGCCTTGATTGTCTCCCTTTGCTCCTGCCGACGCTTCGTGTGTTATTCTTTTGCTTCAACGCAGGACTTGAGTCGGGCCTCCGTTTCCTCGGCTGGGGATGTGCATTTTCTTTTTGTCGCAACTGGTTTTTGGGGCTCTGGTTGCTTCCGTTTGTTCGAGGTCTCTTCCCTAGCTCGGGGGCGTGTAGCTTTTTGTTTGCAACTTCCTCGTTTTGAAAGGTCCCCGCAGGACTGAAGTAGGGGCCTTAGGTTTGCCTCCATTTGCTCAAGTTTTTCGAGTTTTCTCTGCGATCGGTCGGCCGCGCGAAAGGCCGGCGTTTGGAGGGTTTTCAAGGGAACATCTATTCGGTACCCCCCCATGCCCCCATGCAGTTTTTTTTTGCAGCCTTCTTTTTTCTTTTGAAAGTTTTTAGAAGTGATGGATTGGGGTGCTGCTGACGCAACCAAGTTATGTCCTGCTGGCGCTTCTTGTTGTTTTGGAGCAGCGCCAGAAACCCTGATGATAAGTAGCCAAGAGGGGTGTCCTTTCGAGCCTCCCAGTCCCAGAAAGGCGCGCTCCATTCCCTGATGTTTTTTTTTTTGAGGGGGGGGTTGCGCTAAGCTCCAAGCTGAAGCGTACTGTCACGTTGCGGACGCGCGTTTCGATCCACAGAGCGTGCTTCGCCGCATCCGCCGCGAAAGCAAACTGCGAAAGCAAACATGTGGTCACGAAAGGGCCTGGGAAAGCAAACTCATAGAACCGCTCTTACACAAAAGTTGTTGGAGTGGGCAACTAGTCAGCGGATTCCCTGCAGTTGCAGGCAATTTCGTACATGCCACATTCTAGGCAGGTGATGCTGAACATTGGCCAGGAGCCAAGCATGTCCTCTGAGGACGACGTACAGGATCAGGAGGGGCCCTCCCGCCAAAGCACAAGCGCCAGCAGCGAGGACAGCGTCTCATGAGCAAAGCAGGTGAGAGACTTGAGGAACTTGTGAAGTTGGCCCTGTAGTGTAACTGTGCAAATTGTTCAGTATACTGTGCAGCTTTGCCCGGATCACATTTCGTTAGGATGATTGTCAGTCCCGGTATTGAGTTGGTGCAAACGTCCTGGCTGGCTGTTGCTCACAAGTTTGTGACAATTTCGCCCAGGAGAACGTCTTCTACTGCAAGGCGCAGTGTGAGAACTACCTCCAGGAGGCTGAGGCAGGCATCTTAGTTTGTTGGAACCATGGCAGTTGTTGCTGGTTGACCATGGGATTGTACCGATCCCGGCTTTGGCCAGGAGCATCGCTTGGCACCGGCTGTGATCCTTGGACTGGTTGGAATGGTTTGTGGACTGTCACTGGGTTTGGCGAGCAGCACTGTGAGCGGAATGTGCCAACGCGTTCGTTCGATAACACTAGTTTGTTTCTTTTGCGTATGCTGTTTAGCTTTGGACCTTTCCAGGATGACGCACACCATGTGGACGGGAGTGCGGCTGCTGAACAGCAGCAGATATGCCGCGTTTGGTGCCTTGCGCAGCATTTAGTGTGCGCTACGTAGAGAGCAGCGGGCCAATTCTTGTCTGGGGCATTAGTATGGTGGAGGCGATCACCTGGAATGGGTGGGGGGGGGGGTGCTGAGTAGCGCAGCTGAGGTATTGATTTCAAGCGGTACTCGCTTGGCGCCCAATGTGCCCAAGCTGCCCGTGGCCGTTTAGGATTGAAGTGGTGGTGAGCAGTTTGCGCAAGCGCATTGAGCCTGAAGGGCTCGAGGAATCGAAGATCGCGATCATCTCATGTAGGGGTAGGTGTTGTGTATGAACATGATACACACCCACCAACTAACATGGAAGTGCGCAAAGCCGCTTTCCAAGAGGAAAGTTGTCTTTTTACAGGGGTTTGTGCACTTCCATGTTAGTCGGTGGGGGGGTACATGTTATTTTGTTTTATTTTCTTTCTTTCCCAGGCGCACATGAGGTGCTGGCGCATGTTTCGCGTCCAGGCCCTGGCGCTGTTGGCTTCGATTCCTTTTTTGCGCATGTAAATAGCGAAGTTTCAAGAGGCCTTCCAAGGGTTGTGGCCAAGAAAGGACAGAACACTATTTGATGGTCACTTGCCACCGACTCGCATGGGCCAGTTTCATTTGTTTCATGTCGGCCAAAGCGCCGATCAAAGCGAAGAAGAACTGCTCGTTTGTAAGCACTTACATAGAGGCGCGCGGGGTGTGCAAACAGGGTTTGCTGCGTCTCTGAATATCAGGTGTCGCAAAGTGGGACAGCACGTCCTGAAGACTTCAATAAGAGCTGTCGCCTGCTGGCGTTGTGTTGATTCTAGTCTAGTAGTATCTAGCAGGCAAGTGTTTGCTTCGTATCCTCCAATTGCCTTGCAGAGTTGTTGTTGCATTTGGGTCGAGTAGACGTCACGGTTGACGGCAAGGTCTCACGATTTTGACGACGAGCGATGCCATGGCTGGATGTCACATGTGCCGATTTGAGCAGCTTGCGACCCAAGTCAAGCTTTTCAACCGGCACCTTTGTGCAAGTCCGGAATTGGAAGGGGAAGTGGAGTTGTGAATTTGCCTTGCGTTGAGTTTGGATGTGCCCCCTAATATTGCTTTTGAAGAATTGCGTTGTTCCACCCAGAACCGCGGAGCCAAGAGTTGCCCTCCCTCTCAAAGGGACAAAAGGACAATAGGCTCTAAAGGAGCGCCCGAGCTTTGAGGGATACAGTGGAATCTCCCATACCAAGCTAACAGAGAGATCGCTTTCCAGCTGTGTTTGGGATTTGGGACTCATCCTGCATCGGGTTTGCGGCATTTTGCAGGCTTGGGCCATTGGGGAGCCCACTTGCGGGTTTCGGATGGGCAGGTGTCGGGACCCGAAGACCCCGGGGGGCTTCGGGCCCAACGTGGGCCACGACGCCGACATCACGGCCACCCACTATGCGAGGGCCTTTTTTTCCGGTTGAGTCGAAACGCGAAAGCGCTTTAGAAGAGAGCCATTTATATGGCATTTATATTCATTTGCGACCCCCCTATCTGTGAATTCTGACGAGACTTCATGGACCCCGCCCCCTTAACCACTCGAGGCCGAAAGAAACAGGCCGTTTGGACACAAATGTGTACCGTACCAACGGTGGACGTAGCAAACATGGCAGCTCGTATTTGCTGCTTGAATTCAATGAATCTGCTGCGTAGACGCCGGGCTTGAAACCAAGCCTCTCTGAATCAGGCTGTTTAGATCCTTTGCACTGAGCAGGGCGCTCCTCCACCACGCCCCCAAAAGTCAGGTGAGCCACAATCAGAATCCGGGTAGGTGAAGATTAGCAATGCAGAGTCCCAGCCAGAAATAGTAGCGTCCGCCTGTTAATTTCCTTACATGGATTTGGATAGACAATTTTTTTCAGGATTTTGATTGTGACTCCGGTTTCAAATCTTCGTGGGCAAGAATACTGCTGGTTCCGTGCGAGCGCGAGAGTTTAGGAGGTGTTTGGTTCAGCGTGGGAGAATGAACGATACAAGTTTTGAGCCAATCGCCTCCTGTTTGTTGCCACGTGTTGCATGTAGATGTCACAATGGCCTTGCTTTTTGGAAATCCGGATTCATTTGGGTGCTAACAAACACAACAACACACACCAGATGGGGATGGATGGATCATTGTTTGATGTTTTGCCAAACCCCCCCCTTTTGGTCCATTTGTTTGTTTGTTTGTTTTGTTTTGTTTTGTTTTGTTTTGTTTTGTTTTGTTTGTTTGTTTTGTTTTGTTTTGTTTTGTTTTGTTTTGTTTTGTTTTGTTTTGTTTTGTTTTGTTTTGTTTTGTTTTGTTTTGTTTTGTTTTGTTTTGTTTTGTTTTGTTTTGTTTTGTTTGTTTGTTTGTTTGTTTGTTTGTTTGTTTGTTTGTGTGTGTGTGTGTGTGTTTGTGTTTGTGTTTGTGTTTGTGTTTGTGTTTGTGTTTGCGCTTTTTGGGTATCCTTTTCAGCTTGGTGGAAAAGCACAAGGTTGCCCACTCACCCGGCAATTCATCGCCGAGGCCCTGCTGGTGATGTGCATCTTCGATGCGGTGGACCGGCTGGACACTGAAGGCCGCTGCATGGTGATGGATTTGTGGAGAAGGGGAGAAATGGATTTGTGAAATGGCTGTGGGTTGGTAGGTGCACCACCCATATTAGTCTATTTTAGTGGGGATTGGGATGTTCACTGGGGGTACGGGATTTTGACCCATGGCCAAATGGGTTTGTCTCAAAATAGGATTTGGACCCGCCCCCAAAGTGGTTGGTTTTCTTTTGGCTTCCCTTCAAAACCACAGAACGGGTACCCTCAAAAAAGACAAGCCCACATGTTCCTTTTGGGATAGTTTTCAACCCAGGTATTCCACACAAACGTGACCCACAGATTCGGAGTGCTGATGGCACATGTGCTGTTTGATGCGAGGTGCCCTTGTTCAAGCCAGGTCTTATCTCAACTGCCAGGGGTTTACCTCTCAGCAGCGCTCTTGTCATGACACTTTTGCGCCGCAACAATTTGATCGAGGCCCAGCATTCACAGATTTTTTTGGTTTTTTTCTCCCCTAACAGCTGAAAGCTTTGGGGTCTCAGCCCAGATAGGCTCCCGGTTGGTCCGGGGATGTAAGAGGGTTCCACCACGGCGGGGTTCTGCGAGGGCTGCGGGGTGGTGCGAGCACGAAAAAGAGCACCGCATGCTGTTGTCTGGGCGGGGGGCAGGGGAGGGGAGGGGAGGGGAGAGGAGGGGAGGGGAGGGGAGAGGGGGGGAGGGGGTTTGGAGGAGTTACCTCTGCCATGATAGAGGGATCGCCCGGTTTTCACAGATTCTCATATTCCTTTCAATCCCAAGATCTAATCTGGAACCCGACAACGCCACTACCACCCAGCAACACACACACACACACTCACACACCTCCTTTTGGAGGTTCGACCCTTTTGCGTTCTCAAAAAAGCAAAGCGTGTTTGCGTGTGCTGAACTGGATGGAACTGGCGCAGGCCTGGTCGCCTTTATCTCCGGCCTGCAGCAGCCGGACGGCTCATTTGCGGGGGACCGCTGGGGGGAGGCCGGTGGTGGCCCGGGCGGAGTGAGATGTGGGTGGAGTGATTGGTGGTGTCGGGCCTTTACCGAACCTGTTTTGGTTCGTTCCCTCGTAAGCTGCCTTCGACCCGCCCAGACTTGGAACCACCTGAAAACGGGAAGGAGGCGACAAACCGCCGGCCAGGTCGGCGGTTTGTTGATGTACTTCATGGTATCCTCCCGGTCACTGATGTGTAGAAGCGGAAGTTGTGGACTTCAAGCTGTTTCTCCCTTTTTCGAGTTGTGAAGCAGGATTGGCGGCGTTGGGTAAATGTCTGGGCATATCCCTGGATTCTGCCGCCAAAGCATTCAAGGGCGCCAGGCTTGCGCTGATGAAGTCGTTTAGTTTGGCATCAACTTGTGGCGAGACACCAACAGCAACGAACTGCGCACTACAAAAGCACCTACTTAACCTGTTAAGTTTTTCCCTGGTGAGGTAGTTGAACATGGTGGATGAACACATCACTGGTATGAATCCGTAATTCTGGGTAAAGGCGCGAATCCCTTGAATCTTATTTCCTGGTAGTAGTGATTCCAGAAGTTTTACAGAGCCTCATGCATGAACGTGGGACGGACAAAGAATGCCCTTTGCCCTCACGAGTCACAGGTGGATGTGCGGCGGGGGCCTCGTTTTCTCAGCCGGCGATGGGGAGAGTCTGCACTCGGATGGATCGGATGGAGTCCAGTGCTTGAGGGCGTTTACTCGAAGCCCTCTGGCCAATGTCGTGCCCTCTCGTTAGCTCTTGATAGTGATTGCACCACGGGGGTTGACAGCCTCTTGGATCGATGGAAAAGGACACATGCACATGCTCTTATACCAACAACAAGAAGGACACCGTGATTGTAACGTGAAGCTTCAGAGAGCAGATGGAACTTTTGTCCTCCGAAGCACCCAACACAACCAAGTGCTTCGGGGGCTCCAAGTTCGTGCACCGGATGAAACATGCGATTCTGGGGTTTCAGGACGCCCTTTGCCGAAGGGCACTTCCATGGTCAAACTCACGCAGATTCATGTCAGGGCAATCAACCCCTGCACCCCGCTCCAACCCGCCCCTGGACCCCTGGCCCCTCTCCTGCATTCTGGTTACCAACCCTGGATCCCTGACTGAAGAATCGCCGTGCAAGCCCTGCAAGCCCTGCAAGCCCTGGACCCCATGGACTCCTGGACTCCGGAATTTTGGACTGGAACGCTCAATCCCTGAGCCTTCCGCCCGAGGTTCGCCTACTGCGCCCTGTCCTCGCTGACGATTCTGGACGCCCTGGACCGCGTGGACGTGGACGCCTGCGTGGCCTGGATCCTGCCGCTCCAGCCGCATCGAAGTGGATCCTCGAGGATTTGGGTGGGTCGGGTTGTGGCGGTCTTTTTGTTTTTTGGGGACGGACGGCCCCCCGCAAGGTGGTTTTCCTGTTGGTTCTCCTTTGCACCCCAAGGGCGCTTTTTGTTTGTTTGTTCTTGGTTCGCCTTTACAACCACAAAGAAGGGGTATTTTGAAAGACAAGCAGGCACACCTGCCAAGCATGTGAGAACATCTTTCCGGAACACCAAGGTGACACCGCTCATGGAGTGCCCCTTATTTAGAGACACAACCATGTTATCCTCGCTGGTGCGGAGTCTTGGTTCTGGGTTTGTGGGAGCAAGTCCGTCTTGCTTCGGGTTGCTTATTTGATTTCGCAAGCATCGAGCCTAGCGTTTGAAGGCGGATCTCTTGGGCCAGATGCAGCAAGTTGGGTGTTTTCTGCCGGCTTCCCTTAAGGGAAATTCCAATGGGAAATCCCGCTGGGAAAATTCCAAAGGGAAAACTCCAAAAGAACGGTCCCCCTATGTTTAGGGAAATGCCAGCCTGAGGCGATGCCAGAACTACGAGGGCTCCTTTGGGCCCGTGCCCCGGGCAGAATCCCACGCCGCCTACGTCTTTTGCGCCGTGCAGGCGGGGCTCGGTTTTCGGCGCATCGTTTTGTGTAGGCTTCGAGGGATCAGAAGCAAAGAGTCTGCCCGCTAGCAAGTGCATACGCATTATGTGTGCGAACACATGGCTTATATGTACGCATTACGTTATATGTATACTTGTGTACACATGCACGGACGCGGACACAGGCATGACCATGTAACAGTTCAATGTACACATGCATCCCACACATGTAACGCAGATGCTGCTCTACCTGCATTGAGTCAGGTGAATTTTGCGCAGCAATGACATGACATGCACCGCACTGTGCGAGCTGTGTGTGGAAGTGGGAGAGTTTCTGCAGTGTAATGTAAGTTAATCCGAGGCTTTTGGATTTTTGGCGTGCAAGCGCAAAGGGGGTGGGGTCTCAGGACATTCTGAGGAGAGCTTGGGGAGTGGTAGCTTGATTTGAAAATTGATTGTAATACAGTTTCTGCTTTGCACATGGGGAAAGACTGAACTCAAAGCGCCGCAAAATGCATGTTTGCAAAATAGGTCGTGCTGCTGCGTTCCACTTTGAAACCAACTTTGGCCATACGTGCAGAGACGTGGCTTTTCATTCGCTACACGCTTTTTGACCGCCCGCCCACCATCCTCCCTTTGTTGGGTTGCTCAAGATCCAATCCTTAATCCTGCCAGATGGTAGTGGTTTCCCCCTTTGTAGTTGACGGAAACTCGGAGGGATATGAATTTGAAGCCCCCAGCAATGCTCCTCGCAGGCGCTGGCGCTGGTGGATGCTCTCCATGCGGTCCGGTGGCCCAGTGTGCATTGGGTGCGTGTGGGTAGTGGCAGTTGTGTTTGCCATGGGATGCCATGAGTTTCGGCACTTTTGTTTGTGGGTCTGTCTGAACTTGAACTGGCGCCCCCCTTTTGTGTTCCTGTTTGGTTTGCAGCGACTCAAATGCATCTGACGTCAGATGTTAAACCTCCATGATATTTCAGAACAGCGCCATTTTTCCCGTTTGGCTGGGGAGACCCCTGTTTTGGGCTGGTTCTCCTTTTGATTTCCCCCTTTTCTCACCCGGCAAAGAGTGCCCTCCAAAAAGAAAGATAATAGCATACCCAGGTTTAGTATGAGCCCTTAAAAGACACTCCTCCACTTTGTGAGGTGGTGCTTTTTGTGTACCCCGCGCAACCCGAACCGGACAAGAACCGTCCTCTTGGGGGCCCACTGGGTGGTTCGAGCCCGCGTGGTTCGGCTCGAACCAAAGGCCCGGATGGGTTTACCAGGTCAACAACCAGGGAAACCCATCTATTTTCCCAGAAAGGACACCTATGCCCTTTGGCTCGAATTCAGGTGGACCTGGACCGCCTGGGCTGGTGGCTCTGCGAGCGCCAGACGGTCAGCGGCGGCTTCAACGGCCGACCCGAGAAGGCATCGGTTCCCCCCGAAGCTGGTGGATCCGGCGGCATCAGTGCCCCCCGAAACGGGTCGCGAGGAAAAACCAAGACAGAAGCCGCAACTTTTTGTTGTTGAGGTTCTCTAGTTCTAAGACAACACCCCTAAGGGTGTTTAGGGACCCCTCTAGACGAGTTTCCTTGTGTTTGCCTTTGAAAGCAACCCCAAAACGGGCGCCATCAACAAAAGGCCCCCCCCAACAGGGGTCTATTGCAACCTCCTTTGGGCTTAGGCCAGCAGCATGTGACCCTCCCGTTGCAGGGAAACCGTGCAGAAACTATGGACATTGCCCCCCTGTCGACTTGGGAGCAGACATTTTCCTGGTATCACCTTGAATAATGGGTTGCCTGTCAACATCCAGGGGAAGCGACAGGAACGAGCTGGGGAAATCACGCCACTTTTAGTTTGGTACTTGCAGCATCAGTGCCTCCCTTTTTCATTGTTCGCATAGGAAGACCCTGCGGCGACAGGCGCCGGACGTGTGCTACAGCTGGTGGATCCTGTCTGCCCTGGTGACCATCGACCGGGCCCACTGGATCGATTTGGAGAAGCTGGCGGGGTCGCTCAGAGGCCTTCAAGCCCCGAAGGAACCCGGGAGGACAAAAAAGGAGCTTCGCTGTGGAAGTTCAGCCACACGGGCTTAGAGGTTGATGTGTTCTGAGGATCTTTCGGGGAGCCCTTTGCTTCAAAGGACTTGGCATCTGCGTCTCATCCGTGCCAGTTGTTCGAAGGCCGATCCAGGCGCCCTCTCTGGGAATCTGAGGCGGGCTTCATTCGCCTGGCGCAGGATCAGGCCAGGGGGCTTGAGCGGCTTCAAGAAGTACCCACCCCCAAGAAGAGAACGGACATGGGGAAGCTGGTCCCAGGCGCGGGTTTCCGTGATTTCTGCTAGCCACAGGTGTTGGCTCCGGATATTTGCAGTGGTTGCCCCTGCGCGGCCGAAGGTTGCCACTAGGCCGACCAGCTCCAAAATGCCATTTGTTTGAAGATTTGTCGGCATGGAGTGTTTGTGCATTCGAGGAGAGGGATGATCTTGCGTTTCTTGGTATACTATCTATTCCTAAGAATTTCTACTTGCCTCTCTCTCTCAAGATGCGTACTTACCATCCTTCCTCATGATACACACACACACACACACACACACACACACACACACACACACACACACACACACACACACACACACACACACACACACACACACACACACACACACACACACACACACACACACACACACACACACACACACACACACACACCACACACACACACACACACACACACACACACACACACACACACACACACACACACACACACACACACACACACACACACACACACACACACACACACACACACACACACACACACACACACACACACACACACACACACACACACACACACACACACACACACACACACACACACACACACACACACACACACACACAACACACACACACACACACACACACACACACACACACCACACACACACACACACACACACACACACACACACACACACACACACACACACACACACACACACACACACACACACACACACACACACACACACACACACACACACACACACACACACACACACACACACACACACACACACACACACACACACACACACACACACACACACACACACACACACACACACACACACACACACACACACACACACACACACACACACACACACACACACACACACACACACACACACACACACACACACACACACACACACACACACACACACACACACACACACACACACACACACACACACACACACACACACACACACACACACACACACACACACACACAACACACACACACACACACCACACACACACACACACACACACACACACACACACACACACACACAC